GGTGCAGGGGAGGGGGTCAGGGGGAGGGGCGCCCCCCCTGCGCCTCGCCCCTGCTGTGAGGCTGCGGTAGAGCCGGCGGCCCTGCTTGCCTGCGTTCCAGATGGTGAAGGTTGCCCAGTGTGGCAAAGCCCGCTCTTCCAGGAAGCGGACTCGGTGGGTCCAGATGGTGGCCCTGTGGAGGGAGGCTGTGACCCTTCCAGCCCCACCCAGCCTGCCAGGCCCCTCGGTTCACGTCCCCTCTGTACGTATGCCCTGGTCTTCGTCACCTGGGGCAGTGGCTTGGTGGGCATTACAGGGGGGTTACAGAGTGCTGACTCCCTAATCCTGGCACTTAGCACCTCATTTCAGAAAGAAACACAAGCTACACACACTCCAAGCCAATTACACACCACGCAGGCCTGGCCACACAACACGAAGCTTTGCCAGGATCCAAGAAAATGAAAGAAGCCCGGCTGGCGTGGTTCAGTGGTTGTCGACCTATGGACCTTTGACTCCCAGTCAGGGCACATGCCCAGGGACGGGCATGAAGGAGGCGGCTGATCAATGATTCTCTCTCACCACTGACGTTTCTATCTCTCCCTTCCTCTCTGAAATCAATAAAAAAATATTTAAAAAATAATTAAATGAAAGACGTTTCTAAGGACAAAAGAACAGTGGACCGCATGCAAGTGAATTCTAGCGAATGTATGGTGTCCTGAGCAAGAAGTCCCTTTTAACACTTTTCCTCTTTCCAGTCCAGAATGCGGGTGGGACAGCTCAGTGTCGAACGGCACCGAGTGGGGCTCTCGGTTCCTGTGCGCCCTAGGTTGGGCAGAAACAGGAGGTGCCCTGGGGCCCTGCCAGTGGGGGGCACCCTGGCTCTTGTCTCCCCTACCACAGGGCGAGCAGGTGAGAAGGGGCTGCAGCCACGGGGCCTCCCCACTTCTGGGACTTGAATTGCTTCTTTCTAACCAGCCCATTTTCTTCCATTTGAGGTACATACTGAATGAGACGCCCACCAGAATGCCCACAGTTTTGTGGACATTTACAAGGATATGAAATGGCCCAGACCAGGTCTCTGAGCAGATCAGTACTGCCAACCAGACACGGCTCGGAGCCTCGGGGATTGGGGTGGCATGGGCCCACACGGGACCGCACCAGCCCTGGGGCTGGCGGGAAGGCTGCCCTGAGGGAGGGACAGAGCCAAACGGCTCAGAGGAATGTGGGCATTTAACGACCTCCCGGTGTCTCTGGAATCATCTCAGGGTCTCTGTCTGAAAGTACCACACGGGGTGAGCTGACAAGACTGAGAAACTGCCACGGACACATGTGCGTGGGCACTTCCTGCCCTGGGCCCGTTCCTCTTCCAGAGCTGTTTTCACACTCGTGCCCTTCCCGCCCCTGCCTGCTGGGGACCAGTGTCCTCACCCGAGGGCAGGGCAGCGCAGGGGCCAGAGCACTGGTTTCCCCAAACCCACAGGTGAGCACTTCCAGAACTTTCTGGGGAGGAGGGGCAGTGTCACGGGTGGCCTGCACTGCGCACAGCAGGCCCAGAGTTGGAACGGGAGGCAGAGACACCCAAGGGACAAGAGCTCAACTCCAGTTAAGCAACATGCAATTTTCAGAAAGAATGAGCAGAAAGCTACCGTTTACATAACATTTCAAAGAGGTTAAGGGTATTGTATAGAGAGAAATTACACACAGTGAACGTGTGAGGAAGTGGAGGGAGTGGCATGGTGGTCGCTGGGCAGGAGACAGAGCCTGTGGGAGCGCCAGGGGTCAGGGTGGGCCAGGCTTTATTAGACTTTCCTTCCTGCCTGTTGGTGTCTGAAGTATGTCAGTGACAACCGGTAAATGATGTAAGTGCTGACCATTCTTAATTTAATATACAAAGGACCAGAATTGGCGCCCACTCAAAAGAGGGCTTTGGGGAGAGAGTCTGAAGGAATCCAGTTCTTGACAAACCTCAGGGCATAATTAAGCCCATTACGCTGGGAGGTTTCCCACTCACAGTGCAAAGACTTTAATCCATACAGAAACTAACATGAGATCACTTCTTTCGTGTTGTGGGTGGCAAAGCCTCGTGCTGCAAAATGGGGGGGAGGTCCCAAAATAAAAGACAAGTATGGCATGCAAACAGGACGAGGACACAGCACTGCTGCCTGGTCCCTCCCCGATACCCGGGCAGCAGCCACACCGCGGGCCGGAGAGCGCTGTGGTCACTGCCAGATGTTTTTAAATTTTAAAGGAAGTGTAACTTACACAGTGAAGTGCATGGATCTTAGGTGGTATCCTTTCTTTCTGAAATCTTTGGTAGAACGTATCTATCAGTAAACCCATTGAGCTTGGCTTTTCCTTATGGAAAGTTTCAAAATTACAAGCCTAATTTTTAATTTTTATTTATACTATAAATATCTCAGATCTATAGTGGTCTCCTTCATTCCAAATATATTGGTAACCTATATTTTCTTTTAAAAATCAACCTTGCTAGAGCTATGTGTCAATTTTATTGATTTTATTTTGAACGGTTGTTGGTTTTGCTGATTTTTTTTTTTTTTTGGTATTGACAGTCCCTTTTTTGTGTGTGTTGTTTTTCTTTCTTTTTTTTAAAACTGATTTTTAGGGAGAGGAAGGGAGAAACATCTATGTGAGAAAGTGTGCCCCGACTGGGACTCGAACCACCACCCTTTGGTGTAGGGACAATGCACCAACCAACTGAGCCACATGGGCCAGGGCTGTGCATGTCAATTTCACCTTCTTCCACTGTTCATTTCTATTTTTCTGTTGACTTTGAGTTTATTTTGCTATTACTTTAGTAACTTTTAAAGGTGGAGACGCAAATAATTGCTTAGTATCTTCTAAGTTTTAAAAGCCATAAAATTTTACTAAAAACTCTACTTTAGCTAAATTCTACAAACATTTTAATTTTCATCAAATTGAAAATTTTGTGATTTCCTTTGTGATTTTTTCCCCTTGGTTGCTCAATTTCCAAGTATTTTGGCTTTTCAAAATGGCTTAATAATTTCTAATTTAATTCTGTGTGGACATGAAACAGGTCCTGTATGATCTCGATTTGAAATTTATTCAGATTTGTTTATTGATCCAAAGTATTGCCTGTCTTGCACGTTAGCAGAATGTACACTCTGCAGTTGGGTAACGTGCTCCCTCCATAACTGGCAGGTTGGGTCAAGCTGGTTGACAGAGCTGCTCAAGTCTTCGGTATCCACACAGACGCCCCATTTCTATCCGAGACTGACGCAGAGTCTCAGAAACTCCAGCTCTCACTGTGGGTTTGTCTGCTTCTCCCTTGAATTCGGTGAGGTTCTGCTCTGAGTCAGGTTCATGACAACAAACCCAATGGCGCTTCCCTGAAGCTACCGTGTCAAATGCAGACACCACCAGGACGAGGATCAGGGCCTGTCCAGCTGTACGTTCTCGCGTTGAGCAGCACCTCCAGTCAATGCGGACGTCGCTGCTGGGACCCACACACGACACGCAAAGTTGGCATCGCACCCACGTGACCTCAGTGTAAGTGGACATCACACCTCCCAGGACAGAGGGTCCCACACCTTCCAGGGACAGGAGGACAGTCGGCTCGGCTTCCAGAAACGCGAGTGCGGGTCCCTGCCTCACGCTCTTGGTGTGCAGAGGGTCCCTGACGACTGACCTGCCTGGAGCCCCAAAAGGGAGCAGCAGCACGATGGTGAGGAACCGAGGGACACACCCAGTAATGTGAGGCCCATGTAACACGCACACATATATGTGACACAGACGGAACACACAGTTCGACCTTTTTCCAGCCCACCTGGGCCCGCACCCCTCCTGCCCGTCCCAGCAGCCGGCCTCCCTCGCACACTGGTGCAGAGGCTCAGGCGGCCTTGGAGCTGGGGGACGTGGACTGTGCCTGACGGGGGAGAAGGGAGGCAGGGAGGGGGCTGGCTTCCCTGTGATGCCCAAGTAGGGGTGTGGCTCAACCACTGCCCACCGAAGCCTTCTCTCGGTCGGGGTGAAGGAAGAGGGTGCCCAGCCCCCTGCAGCCACGCCAGAGTGTGCAGGGCCCACCTCGTACGCGTGAATTCCGTCTCAGTTCAGCTCACACTGGACCCTGGGCCTCAGCCAGCCCCCGGAGTCCACAGCACCCCACCCCGCCCTGGCTGGGGACCGCGTACTCAAGCACGGAGTGCGTGGCCGCGCCGGGGTGGTAGCGGTAGAGGAGCAGGCTCTGGTCCACCCGTCCGACGCCGCCGCCCTTCCTGAGGTGGTTGTAGAAGAGCAGCAGGTCCTCGGGCACGCCCTGCGGGGGAGGAGGATGCTCACCACCCGCACAGCAGTCCAGTGCTTCCCCCAGGCATCTGGTCCTCAGGCCAGAGGCGGGGAGGCTGCCAGCCACCGGCCCACCTGGATCCCTGATGTCACAGCCTGCTGACCACACGCCCAGCTGCCCCACCCAGCAGGCGGCATCACTGGGCAAGAGCGACACACGAAGCTCTTTAAGACAAGAAGGAGCTAGAGGGGAGGAGCGTGGCAGCCACCCTGCCTCCCCCTCCCCGCCCGTCACACGCCTCCCAGCTGACCCTACAATCCTTGTTGCTGGTCCATTGAGACACGACCTCCCAGGGGCAGGCACTGGGCTCTGACAGGTTCTGCAGGGTTCCCATGGTTCTCCTGTCTTGTGAGACAGGTCCACTCCCCCGAGTCTGGACAAGATAAGGAAGGGGCACCCCTCCATCCGCTCGCCGGGCTCAGACCAGAGCCAGGCGTGGGGCCTGCGGCCACCTCTGTGCTGACAGGGATGCGGGTTGGCTCCCTTCGTGTCTAAGTCCCAACGTGGAAGCAGGTTGTCCACCGGGATCAGAGCTCAGCAGCCTCTGGGGCTGGTGCCTGTAGGGCGTGTGGCAGCGCATGAGCTCCTCCCGCCCGCGTGAATTTGGGAGAAACGGCAACACGGACAGTGCCCGGTGCCCTAGAACCGTGACTGGTTCGCCTCCAGGACAGAGACAGGGGCCAGGTGACCTGCGTGCCATCAGGCGTGGTGGGGCCACCGGCAGGCCGGGCATGGCAGGGGGCTGGGCTACATCCCAGGCAGCACTGCTGGGCAGCCCCTGGGGCTCTGGCTTTTAAACCTGAGAACAGCCCTGACCCTGCAGAGCATGTCTGTGGCTGTGAGGGCCTCCCCAGCTGGAAGGCGGGTCGGGGGTCAGGGGTGAGGCTCCTGTGGGCGATGGGCACGGGGGGAGTTCTGGGGGGAGGCAGAGGGGTGCTGGGCGGGACCAGGGAAGGGGCAGTCCACGTGGCCCCCATCAGTCAGTGAACTGTCGGCCCAGAGCCAGAAGGACTGTGGCCAAGGTCCCAGGGCGGATGGTGGAGTCTGGTCTGGGGTCTCCAGACCCCCAGGAACCCTGTTCCCAGAACTCCCGCCACCCCCTATACCCAGGCCCCCCGCAGTGCCGGGGGCAGGGCATCAAAGGTCAAAACAGGGAAGGCCTGATGGGCCTTGGCACACCTGGTCCACCCCCTCCAACCTGGAGAGAGGAAGTCATGTCCTCAAAGCCCATTTCCCAGGGCGGGTTAAGGGGAAACACACTGATTAACCCCGAGGTTTACTTTGTAATGGGGTGCAGGAGCCTTCACCCTAAGATGGGCTGGGGAGGAACAGTGCGCAGGCAGCAGCAGAGGCCGGAACCCAGTGGGTGTAGCTCTGCCCAGCATGGCTGCCTCCCACGGGGCTGCCTCCTCCCACTGTCACCCACCACCCACACCCACAACAGGATGAGGTAACCGGGGCCCGGGCCAGGGCAGGTGTGACGCCCGCAGCCTCACAGAAATCCCTTGCTTGTGGCAAAACAAACACGGTGCCGGGGCCCCAGCTGCCCCTGGAGCTCAGCAGAGCAGCAGCGCTGGGGACCACCTCAGAGGTGCTTCCCTGACCCCCGATCCCTGGACTAGGTCGTGGCGCCTACAAGCGTTAGGGTGGGGTGTGGGCCCCAGCTGCCCCCGGAGCTCAGCAGAGCAGCGGAGCTGGGGACCATCTCAGAGGTGCTTCCCTGACCCCCGATCCCTGGATTAGGTCGTGGCGCCTACAAGCGTTAGGGTGGGGTGGGGGGGGTGGGGGTCCCCAGTCTGGGGAATGACAGCACCAACCCCAATCCCAGAGGAGGACTCCACAGGGGGACCCACACTTACCTGCCCTCCCTCGTCGAACGGGCCCACGTGAGAAAACCATGCTCGCGAGCAGAACCAGGTGGGCATGACCACAGTTGGGCCATTGGAGGTGAAGACCTAGAACAGTTAACACTGGAAGCTGTCACAGCGCCTGCACCTCACCCCCGAGTGTCTTTCCGGGGCGACGGGCTGCTCTGCGCGTCCTTCCTCTGCAGGTGCAGGCTCGTGGGACTTTGCTACGAGATCGAGTGTCCAGCCCCCGGCGCAGGGCGGAGGCAGGAGCTGGGACATGGGTAGCGGGACCCAGCCCACCCCAGGTTCTGTTCCCGGCGGATGCTCACAGTGTTTGTTAAGGAGCCTCCCCCTGCGTTTGATCGATGGCATCGCTTGTCTGAATATCACAGGGAACAGAACTAAAATGGCATAAAAGGATCGAGATGATAACTAGGAGTTTAGATGAAATGGACAAATTCCTATCGAAGGGTCTCAAGAGGAAACAGAAAACCTACGTAAATCTGTACAAATAAGAGCCTGAACAGATGTGCCTGCGCTGGGGTCCTGCCTGGGCTGCCGGCCGAGTCCTCCTCGCTGTCTCCCCAGAGCACACATTTGCCAGAGAAAAGGAAGAGGACTCGGGGGCCGAGCCCAGGTCCCCGCACACGCTCAGCGGCCCTTATTCAGGAGGTGTTCTGGGCTCTGTGCTTTTATCTCCAAATCCATCTCCGCAGCTTCCCGTTGTGGGAGGGAAGGGACGCTCGAGGGGAGAGGGAGGAGTTTTTCTGAAGGTGCAACACAGCGGGATGAAAGCGACTGCAGGTCTCCCACATCCCCGGCCTCCAGACAGTCTGCAGATCACACGTAATCGCCCAGAGCACAGCACCTATCATTTCTCAGGGCTGCTTCTTCCCAGACATTTCTGACCGCGTCTTACTCTCTCGGTCTCATCGACCCCCACCCCCAATACTACATGAACAAGCCAGAACAGTTTCCAAAGCATTTCGTAATGTTTCCCTCCATCAGAAAAAGAACAAAGAGAGAGGACTTCAGTCCCAGGGCATTTCTCGACCTCCTGCCTCCCTCCAAGCTTCCAGGGGGGCATGCCAGGGCCCAGGGCTGTCTCTCTGCTCCCCGCTCGACCCTTTCCATGGACGGGCACCCGCGTCCAGGCCCAGTACACACCCAGCACCACGTGACACAAGCTCGTCTCCATACCCGACATTATCTGAAGGGTGATGGGAACGAAGGAATAAAAATGGAACAAAAAAGCAAAGAAAGCACATTTGGAGGTGATTTCTTTAAGTCCAGTCAGAGGACAAGTTGGCCTGTCCTGGTGGTTTCTGTCAAGCTTTTCTGTGTTCTTGTGTTTCAGGTGGTTCACTGCTTGTCCAGCCTCCTGCCTCCCAGCAGGCGTTACGTCCAGCTCCCCCCTCGCATGCTCAGGTGCAGCCGGGCCTGAGCAGCCTGAACGAGCAACAAATCCGGACCAAGAACCTCCCCACTTACTTCAGGAGTCCTGCGGCCATAGCCCCGACCAGACCTCTGACTCTTTGCTGTTGTTTTCCTCACCCAAAGGCATTTTTTCCATTGATTTTTAGAAAGAGTGGACACCAACAGCCCGGCTGTGCACCAATAAAACTTTATGTACAAAACAGGCAGCAGAACAACCTGCCAACCACGGGTCTACCTGGTAAGGGGTGGGCCTTTGGCTTCAATTTAAATGAAAACTGTTTGACTACTGAGCCTGCAACAGGCCAGCGCCCCCCTCTTGTCTCCCTCACTGCTGGGGTCTGTGAGTAAATGAGGTGCAGAAATAGCCCCCAGATCTCAGGATTCGTGGAACCCAAATGAAATAGGACCAAGAGGCATAAATGCTCTTATGCTGATTTTTTTCATTCTTTCATGTTTAGGTAAATAATGGGTAACTGAACCTGTTGCTCAGATGATGACTCAGGGAGACTCGAGCTCCACGCAGGCCCAGCAGAGGGCACTCTGGGCCGCGAGGAGGAGCGGGAGGAGTGGCCTGTTGGACATTCAGTGTCAAAACCAGGCCCCAGGCCAAACACAGACAGGCCAGCAGCTCCCTTTTCCTGGGTCAGCCCCCTGCGGCTTCCCCCGCGGTGGACAGAGCCGGGCAGTGGGCTTCACTTCGGGCTGCCCCCCACCTGTCACCAAAGCCACGCCCTTCCCTCCAGTGAGACTGCTGGGACTTTCGAACCCTTTTCGATTTTCGCCTTCTCTTCACTCTCAAGCTGTCACTCCCTGTTTGTGTCACCAACTGAAAAATCAGATAATCCCGTTTCTTAGAACTTTGTCAACAAGGGCTCCCATGTGAGGCCTCGCGGGCCCAGGCGCTGTTCTGGGAACCCGGGAGTTTGGGGCTCTCCCCTGGTTTTATGCCAACAGAAGGTGCACTTCGCAAAAGTGAATTGTATGTAGTTCTCAATCCTTGAAAGTCTATCCCAAGATGTTTCAGATGCAGAACAAAC